TCTCCTCTCTCTCTCTCTCTCTCTCTCTCTCTCTCTCTCTTCTCCTCTCTCTCTCTCCTCTCTCTCCTCCTCTCCTCTCCTCTCCTCTCCCTGTCCCTCCACCCCCCCTTTCCTCGGCTGCTCGGTAGGGGGAGGGGCGGCTTGTCGAGATAGTTGTGCCAGTGCCAGGGTGCCAAAAGTTCTCCTTCCACCACGTGTTGCAAGTGCCAAGGATCACACACTCTTGCTTCACCCTCCCACATTCCCCTCCCTTCCCCTCTCATCCCCCTTCCTCTCCCTCCCTCTCCCTCTCTCACACACTCGGGCTATTCTCGTTACCCATGCCACCAGCGCCTACCTGCACGCCCGCACGCCCTCAGACCTCGCGCGCCCATTCCTCGACCTCCTTTCTCTTCTCTCTCTCTCTTCTCTCTCTCTCTCTCTCTCTCTCTCTCTCTCTCTCTTCTCTCTCCTCTCTCTCTCTCTCTCTCTCTCTCTCTCTCTCTCTCTCTCTCTCTCTCTCCATGTCTCGGAGTTCCACCGTCTTCGCCAAAAGATCATCACCTGTTCATCTTAATCATCGAACATCCGGGACACATCGTAGCTTTTTTGACGTTATCGTACAGATGCAGTCTATGGGGTGGTGCCAAGGGTACGATAATGAGCATATTCATCAAACCACGAGACGTTTCGCGGTACTAAAAACAGCCGTAGGAGTCTGAACGCATTGTGTACCTGTACAAATGTCAGCGAAGTGCGGAGCTGACTCGCGTGTCTGGGCCAAGGAAGCTCAGGCCAACGTACATTCTTGCAGCGGAGAAGTACATTCCCCAAGAAAGCCGGTGATTATCGTGCATTCTTCGCCTCCTAAATATTTGATGCCAATTTGATCGAACTTTTTTTGTCGTCTGCTTTTCTCTTTGTTGTGCGTTCTTCTTAGATCTGATAAAGACTTATCGGTATCGGGGGTGAGATAGAGATACGTAGGAGGAGTCTCAAGAATGCGGAAATGTTATTGTTACTACGTTACGCTCGCGACCCATAACATAAAGGTATCGTACACGTGGTCAGTCACATGTCATCGTTCATCTGCCATCACGGTCTCGATACCAAACGGCGCCATATTGGAAAACACCTTAAATAATTGAAGGTTATTTTTTCACTTATGTTTGATTTCCCTTTGTATATTAAATGTCATGGATCTAATTAGATCATGTGGTGATTCATTTAATGTGGATAATGAAGAGGAAGAAGGAAAGGTTAAGCAGGAGACCGGTGCCCATAATGTGTGGCATTCGCAATATCAAAAACCAATGGAGCTTATAATTCGAAATAACTCGATAATAGTCCGTTGGATGTGAAATCGAGATAAAAGGCATCCAGCGGAAGAGATGCTGTCCATTTCCACATATTTAACGAGGAAGACGAGGCTGTTGTTATCGTACGTCTGGCGCCAAGGTGTCCACACTGTCGTACCCAGGTGGAAAAAAATATCGTACGACGCAATTCAGGCTCTCGATTTGGCTCCCACGTTTGCTTATGGAAAATTGTATTAATATCATATCCGCGTGTGTGTTCGTGCGTGCGTCCGTGTGCGTGTGTGTGGTGTGTGTGTGTGTGTGTGTGTGTGTGTGTGTGCGTGTGTGTGTTGTGTGTGTGTGTGTTGTGTGTGCGTGTGCGTGTATGCGTGTTCGTGAGCGTGTTTATTTGCAGACAGGAGGCGGCGTGGAGGCGTGTGTGGCCAGGGGGTTTTAGGGGCTGCGGCGACGGTTTAAATTTATGGCGCTCCTCTTGGCCACTCTACGTGCAACCTCCTCCTCCTCCTCCTCCCTTCCGCCTCCTCTTCCTCCTTCCCCACTCCTCTTCCTCCCCTTTCGTCGTTTTCCCCTCCTCTCTCCCACGCCCTCTTTCTTCCTTCTCTGTCGCTTTCTCCTTTTTCATCTCCGCTTCTTTCTCCTCCGCCAATTCCTTTTTCCTCTTGTACCTTCTTCTTCTTCTTCTTTTTCTCTTCCTCTTTCTCCTCCTTCTCTTTCGTCTTCTTTTTTCTCCTCCTCTTTCTTTTTCCTCTTCTCTTCTCCTCTTCTTTCCTCAGGCTTGTCTTTTTTTATTGTTCCTTGTTGGTGACGTCACAATTCTTTCAGACGTGTTGATGACGTCACAGGTCCTTTAGGTATGTTGGTGACGTAATGGCTCCTCCTTACGTATCCTTGCGGGTTCAGTTCCTTCGGGACAAACGAATTTTTTTTTTATCTTTCTTTCTTTGCTTTCATTGGCGAAGAAAAAATAGGAATGAGATATATATAGGAATATTTGTATATATATTTTTTTCTTGATTTTTGAAATAGGGAGAAAAGGGGGGGGAGATTGTAGGTCTGGAATTTCGACATAAACAGGAATGCGAAGTCGCTGCTGGAATTAATTCTCGCCAGGCTATATGGAATCGGGAATTAAATCAGTGCATAGACAGAACCGGAAATGAAGTCACTGGCTAGCACAGAACTGGGCAAATATTTCATAACCGGGAATAAAGTCTGCCCACGCTTCAGTATCGGGAATATCATCTGCCAAAATCGGGAATAAAGTCTGCCCACGCTTCAGAATCGTGAATAAAGTCTAGCCACGCTTCAGTATCGGGAATATCGTCTGCCAAAATCGGGAATAGAGTCTAACCACGCTTCAGAATGGGGCGTAAAGTCTGCCAAAATCGGGAACAAAGTCTCCCCACGCTGCAGGACCGGGAATAAAGTCCAGCCGTGCTTCAGGACGGGAATAAAGTCTGCCCACGCTTCAGAATCGGGAATAAAGTCCAGCCGTGCTTCAGGACCGGAATAAAGTCGCCGTCCACACGAGAGATCCAGACCTGAAGCTGCTGCCGGGAAACAGATCAAAGTCCCTTTTCTCTTCTCGCGAAAGTCTATTCGGAGGCGAAGTCCCCGGGACGCGTGGCGGGCGCGCGCGCGCGTCTCCCGTGCTGGAGGCGGAGACGGGGATGGGAATTCGGTCGCTGGTAAGTCTTTCATGTCTTCTACTTGTCTTTTTTTCTCTTCTGTTGCTTGTTTTTTCTCTTCTACTTTTCTTGTTTTTTTCTATTTTTCTTGCTTTTTCTCTTTCTATTTCTCTTGCTTTTTTTACTCTTAACTTTATTTGCATATTTTTCCTTCTGCTTTTCTTCTTTTTTCTTTCTTCTACTTTTCTTGTTTTTTTCCCTATTTTTTATTCGATTATGGTTGATTTTTTCTGCTTCTATTTCTTTTTCGTTTTGATTTGGGTGTTTCTTTTCTTTCACTTTTTTTCTCCTAAATAACACTTTTTTCAGTTACTTTTCGTTTCTTTTCAGTGCATTGATTATCACTTGTTTTTGTTTTCCTTTTCTCGAAACACTTTTTTCAATTATTCATTAGGTTTTTCAATTATTAATTATTCATTTTTTCATTAATTATTCATTTTTCATTAATTATCATTTTTTCATTAATTATTCATTTTTTCAAATATTAATTACTTACATTTTTTGTCCCCACTTGTGTCACTATTTAGACACTGACTTGCATAATGTCTCTCTCATTTGCATATTTTGTTGCTTATATTAGTTGCCATTTTATTATTTTTTTCACTTTATGGCACACTTCCTCTTGTTTTCCGCCCCCCCCCCAGTCTCCCTTTTAGAATCCTTCTTCCTCCCCTCTTTATCATTGTCTGTCGCTCTCTCCCCTTCTCTCTTTCTGTCCATATCCTCGTCACCTCTCTAACATCCCCATTTTTTTTATTTTCACTTTCTACACATAATAGGATAAATGAATAAATGAATAGCTGAATGAATAAATGGATGAATACACGAAATCGATAGAATATAAGAGAATGAAAATAGAAAAGAATAAAAAAATTGAAAAAGATAAGTCAATAAAGATAGAAGAAAAAATAGATATGATAAAAACATAAATAAAAAACGAGGAGATGAGCAATTAATTGAACGATCTTCTTATATCTAATTTTCCTCTTTTCACTCTTTCTTTCTTTTCGTATTCTCCAAAGTTCCAAATTCTACCCAAGATCTTGATTTTTTCTTTTATTTTCACTAACCCACAGCACAGTACTTATATTTATTTTTTTTTCCTATTTATTTTCCTCTATTCAGCACTCATCCTCTTATATTTTCCCTACTTTATCGTTTCTTCTTATTCCCCGACTTCTAAATGTGCGAGAATATTGTTGTTGTATTTTTTCTCTCTCTCACCTTTCTTATTTCCCATTTTTCTTCCTTTTCTCTCCATCTCCTTTTTTCTAACATCTTTCATCTCCGCCACTCCACCCCTTACTTTTCCTTTTCTTTCTTTCCCCTCTTTTCCTCCCAATTCTCCTTCCCCGTCCAAGTTCACTGGTCTCTCCCCCTATTCCCTATTTCCCTCTCTCTCCATTTCTCCTCATTCTCTTCATTTTCTCCCTCCTCTACGTTCACAGGTATCTCCCCCATATCCCATCTCCATCCTCACTCCACCTCACACTTCCTGCTCTCTTTCTCTCTCTCTCTCTCTCCTCTCTCTCTCTCTCTCTTCCTCTCTCTCTCTCTCTCTCTCTCTCTCACTCTCTCTCTCTCTCTTTCCCCATTCTTCTCCGCATTCACGAGTCTCTCCACCTCCCCAACTGCACCTCGCACCTCCCCTTCTGTTTCTCCTTCATTTTCTCTCCATTCCCACTCCGCCTGACACTTCTCCTTCTGTTTCACCTCCTTCTCTTCCTTCTCTTCCCATTCTCCTCCTCCTCCCTCCATGTTCACGGTCTTTCCCCATTCCCCATTTTCCTCCCCACTCCACCTCCATTTTCCGTTCTCTTTCCCCACCTCTTCTCCCCATTTTTCCACATCACACGTCCTTCCTTCTCTCTTCTCCCCTCCTCCCCCTCTACATCCACGGGTCTCCCCCATTCCCATTTTCCTCCCCACTCCACCTCCATTTTCCGTTCTCTTTCCCCACCTCCTTTTCTCCCCATTTTTCCACATCACACGTTCCCTTCCTTCTCTCTCCCCC